AAGAAGCTCCTACTTCTTCAAATTTTCACTGCAAAATGTTAAAGAGGATTTTGACTTGAGAATCAGCCTTCGGTCGAACACTGAAGATGAACGGATGAATTCTAGAAATTCGCGATGCAATCACAGGCGTAACAAGTAAAATCAGATTTTTTCATTTTCTTCACCTGCTTATCTGTCTAGTGTTGTCAAGTGACGGTAAAGCAGAAAGTTAATTTTAATTTTATTTTGGTAGCTGGATATGAGAATATAATTATAATAGTTGCGACAGTCTGCCCTTAACGGAGCAGTGTTTTGTGTTTTCCAGGTGCATGTCACTTTATAGCACAATCGAGTAACTATGTTACCTTCAGTCATTGTAAAAATGCTATAATATAAAACAAATATGACTTAAAATAATGCTTTGTGATTTAATGCCTTAAAATACAGATTCTGTCTCTTTAAAAGGTTTCTTGTTTTAAAAAACCTGATTGAAACCTGATAGAAACGCTTGTTTGCCAAAGGCACGCTCTAAAGACTGTTGAGACAATAATGATCTGTGCTGTGGGTGTTGTTTTTCAAGCTTCGTTTATTCCTGTTGTTTGCTTATTGAGTGCTGATGTCTGTGTTAAATGCCAGCATCAGATCCGACAGAGAACTCATAAATTAGTTTCACATGAAGCTGCTGTCCGCTTGCTCGGTTAAAGAAAAAAAAATTAATTAGGTAATTTTCTCCTCTGTCTCAAGCAGAGGAGAATGTTTCATGTACGTTATACAGAAAGCTGCAGCTATGACTCTACAGTTGTCACACCAGGTAATTATTTTGGTTTGTTAAGTTAGAAATGTCAGAGTCAGACGAGACAGAAGTCCATGCTAGACCAGTAAATGAAGGGCGACTGCCCACACAGGACCGGACATCAGTCAGGCAGTGACTAATATGTCGATACCTGAATGTTGTCTGTGTGTGTTTGGAAACGGTATCAGTGGAAGTTTTTGTGTGTGGGAAAAAGTCATTCAACAGATTTGCACCCACTCAAAAGTTCTCAATCATTTTGAGTTTCTAAACCTGATTTGGAAAAAAGTTATTTTGCCTGATTTTGTTATTTTTTTGTGACTTAATTATTGTCACTTTTGTCCTGAAAATTAAAAAACCTTCATGTGACTTTATAATTTTGTCCGTCTGATTATGCAGTTGTTAAATGTTAAGTAGGTGAGAGTTCGATCAGTTACTGAGTACTTGAGTAGACTTTTTACCAAATATGTTTTTAGTAATTTCTTGGATGGCTGCTTTTATTTGAGTATAAATATGTTTAAGTTTTGCTCCTTTCACTTCAGCACCATTGAACCAGGGAACACCGTGAAAACAGAAAAAAACCAAAACAGATCTTTAAGCATAAAGTTTGGCAAACAAACGACACAGAGTTATTTTTGCTATCTCTTACAGTATTATTGTAAGCAAAGCCTAACTTTATATTTATTGAAACTGTCGTGTTAGCCTCTTTTCTCTGCTAGCTTGTTGAACTTTCAGTCCCACTTCCGGTTCGCTGCTACATGTTTCAAATAAATCATTTAAACTCAACAAACCCATGTAAAATATAGGTAACATGTTGCAAAGACGTTAAATACCTTAATATAAAAATATAGGTAAAGAAGTAAATATGTTTAGACCACGGGAAACTGGGTCTAAAACATATTGCTAACTTCTGGGCTAGCAAGTCGGCAGGCTAGCTAGCGCCCGTTGTGTCGTTAAAAGCAACTTTTTCTCCTGGCAACTAAACCTTTATCAAACCTTTACGAAATGTTATACCATCAGCCAACAAGCTTTTTTCAGTTCCGGTCAGCTATCTGATTCATTCAGACATGAGGTAATGGCTCAGAGCCTGACAATTCACACTATCCCATTATGAAGCTTGACAGTTAGCTACGTGTTGTTTCACAGCCTCTTTCAGTTGCTCTTTTTAGCTGCAGCTTCAATTTATCTGTTAATTATAATGCTATTCAGGCCTTTAACTGTGATCTGGATTGTATTTATGGGAACTGTCATGCAGAGAATGTTTTGGATTTAGCAATTTAAGACTCGTTCTCGGATCATTTACTTCAAGCTTTATGAAAACAAGTGGAGGGTGGAGATGAACGCCATGTGTATCTGTGAACGAGTTGGCCCTACGTCAGTGTCCTGCTTTATGTCTGCAGAGTGTGACAGTGAAAATGTGTAAATAACACAGAAGCTACGGATGACCAGCACACACCCTCTCACTGTCACTTTGTGTTTAAACTGTTGTAGTTTCTCAGCTTTCTTTGGTCTGACTCAGATTTCTGAGTCAAATAGTTCACTCTTAATCTGAGAGTGCTTCATCTAGGTGTGAACTGACTTGTCTAAGATATTTCTCATACTTACTCGTACATAATCAGAAATGCATTATTTATCTTTTTTGTAACAATCTAATAAAACAAAGACATAATAAGCAGGGGAAGTCAAACACACAAACTCTACAGTTACACCCTTCTTCCACAAGAGAGCAGGGAAAGTTTCCTGCATAAAAAATTAACCTGTAAGCTGCTTAAAGGTTTAACTTTATTTAAAGTTTATTTTATCCCTCACAGTTTAATGATCTGTGCTGTGGGTGTTGTTTTTCAAGCTTCGTTTATTCCTGTTTTAGAGTTATAATAAACGATGATCATTTAAAAGGGGAGAGTTTGGCAGGAGAGGAAAAAAAAAGGACATTTCGGAAACGCCTGCACATCCAGCAAATTTAACTAGAACGAAAAATATAAGAAAGTGCAGAAAAGATGGTGTCTGGGCAGGCCGTACTGTGGCTTCTGAGACGTGCAGAGAGATGTTCACTTTAGATTTGGAATCAATCAATTCTTGAAGAAAGTGATGCTGAGCTCATCGGAGGTGTAGAAAAGATTTTTAAAAATGGGAATTTTTATAGATTTCCTTTGTGTTGCATTTTGACAAACCCAAAATCATGAAATCAATGTTAATGTAAGCAACATACAAAGAGATGTTTTCAAATTATTCATTATTAAAGAAGTGAAAGATTTGGAGTACAAAATATCAAAAATAATAGAAACAATCATTTTGATTGTCTCAGAGTTTGGGGAAAATATTCTATTAATCGTGAAAATTTTTTTCTTTTTCAAGGTGTTCATCAGGTCATCATATCATTGTCCGGACTTTTCAATTCCTGGAGAATTTGACATAATTAATAGGAATATTAATTCTGAAGGCTGTGGAATGACCTCAAACACATCCTCAATGCTCAAAAACCCCCTGAGGTGTGTTTATTGACTCAAGTTGCAAAAATAAAACATAACTCTGTCTTTTGGTGAAGGGCATTCTATTATAAACGGCTGAAAGTAAAATTCAGAGAAAACTATTTCAGACAAGTTAATGTTTTGGGTAATAGACGGCGTGCCCCACACACAGCCACATAAACATTGTAGATTCACAAGAAGCTGGAGAAGAGATCTACAGTCTAAATCCAGAGAACCGTACGCAAACTATAAAACTAAACGAGCTGCGAAGTCTGATTTAAAGCACACCATGTCTGTTTTTGTAAAAACTGAATATACAGTCGTGTAAGGCCTGCTGAGCGCCTCAGAAGCACAAACATTTCAGCTCCCTTCTTCTGTGTTTTACAGTGAAGAAAAGGAAGTGAAAGTGGAAGAAACCACTGAATACCAGACTGAGATGACTGACCGTGATGCAGATCAGCTCAGGGAAAGAAGTGAAGCCAATCAATATCAGCACAGAGATATGGTTTCTGAAAACACGCTTATGAACAACTAAAGGAATAATTTTCCGTCAAACTTAAACATTTATAGTTTTCACAAATTGGGAACCTGCTTGTTAAACTGGATAATCTAAGTTGGCTTGTCGAAGGATCTATGATTATCTTCAGCAACATGTTAGTTTTGGTCACATGAATCTCTTAACACGCCGAGGGTCAAAGCATATTCCACAAAAACAAGCAATGATAGTGGACTTAGTTTTGATTTCACCTTTTTACAGGATTAGTCTGTTTAATTACGCTGAGTTGTTCCTTCGCAGAGCCTATTTATTGGAATGGAGTAAACAACAGCAATATCTCAATCACTTCCAAACATCTTTAAACGCTCAAGCCAAAAATGATTAAGTCAAAAAACTCGGAAATTGAGATTAAAGCAACTCAAATCCTGTTTTTAAAATTGAAAATAAATTAGTTTAACCAACTGGTGAATTTGAAATACTGTTTGGTTTAAACGGTGACAAGCTGGTTTGACGTAAAACGGGTTTCCCACTTCCAGCTTGTCCCGAGACGCCTGGTTCTGTTACCTTGTTATTCATTTGTAACGCACTGGATACGCTCTGGTATTTGTTACTGGTGGAGTCCCAGTTCACCCCGTAAAACAATGACAGAACAAAGAGTGATGGAAGAAAAAGACAATAATAAGTAAAGAAGCAAAGTTGTAAAGCAGGGGGTCCAAACCTTTTGTCATGTGAACCAGAATTGTCTGATAAAAATAATTCATGGGCCAATAAGATATTTAAAAACTCTAAGAAACCAAATAAAGTGACCGGGTTTTTCTTTTTTGTGATTTTTGTGATCATGATCGGATATCACATGCTGCACTCTGGCACACAAACAGTGCTGCAGCAGAAAAAGTGACCTCTCCTTTCAGAAAGCTCGCCTCTTTCTCGCTAGCCACGGAGGAAAAATAATCATCTTCTCGCAGTAAAATATTTATGGATTTCATTCAGCAGGAAGTCCAGAAAGCAGCTGGAGTGAGAGGAAGGAAGAGAGAGACAGATAAACACCAAACCACTCTGGACACTCCCCACTTATCTATCACTCATGCTGCTCTTACGTGGAACGCAGATGAAGAAGTCTTGTTTATCCAGAGCCACTGCTGAGAGGAAGAGCAGACGAAGCTTTGTTCTTGTAATGTGAACTCTAATGTGGAAACTTCAACAGGCGTCATTACGCCTGAAGTTTTTATCTTTCTCCTATTCAGGAAACAAAACAACAGACAACTGGTGGGTCTGACATCTGTACATTTATTAGATCATTTCAACACAAGTGATAATTCTCAGAAAGCTGTTCTTTAGTTCATGTATAAGGCTTGCTTACTTTGACATGTGAAAAATGTAGAAACTAAGTACAAAGGCCGCCCCAGAAAATGCACAGTATGACGGCAACCATCACTTATTTAACGAAATGCAACCTTTGAAAATCCCTTTTGAGAAAATGTATTTTTAATCCCATCACATTCAAAACTGAAGCCAGAAAATAACACCCTGCACTGGGTTTTTATTTACATCATAAACGGTCAAACTATGACATTTCTCTAAGTTTAAGTTGGCACAGTGACTGAGCATTGCAGACAAATGACCTTTGACCCAGATTGAAGTTGTCACAGTACTGAGAGTCGAGAGTGTCCTATTCTTGTACATTTTAAATTTACAGTGAATTTCATTGTTTTATTTAATATACATGCATAAATGGTTGCACTGGATTCTATCTGGGGGTAAAAATGTTTGCATTAGCATTATAAAGTCTAATCAAACGTTATAACGTAACAGTCTTACATTAATACACACTGAAGATTGACGTTTCAGCTCAAAATTCACACAATTTTCAGAGGTTATGAATATCTTTTCTAGGCACTTTGTGCACAGATGTCAGATATGAGACATGAGCAGAAACTACAAACTGACGGATCTCTAAATAGAAACACTGCAGCTTTAAATTGTTCACATTTACAGCGTTTTCTTCCTTAACGTGTTCACATTGATACTTTTATCGTTTCGTTATGAAATCCAAGCTGTTCGTCTCTGTTAGTGTTGTGAACAGAGTTTACTGGAAAGCAGAAATGGCTACGTCTTTGAAAACACATTTTCAAAGAGAAATGAAGTGTCACTCTGTGTGGAAAGTAAATGTAGCTTTATTATTATAGTAGAAAAAAGGCAATACACATTGAAAACAAACAATTTTTTTTTCAGCTTAAAAGTTTACAAGTGTAGAAAAATACTCCATGTGTTAGTTGCACCATGGGGGGGGTGGGGGGGAAAGAAGATTTGACCCAGATTTCCACAAGAATTGTGTTAATAAAACCACCTAGTACAGTTATACATATGAATATTAATGTAGTGCAGAATCAGACAAAAAGCTTAGATTTCTTTTTAATCAACTTAAATCCCTTTGGATCACTTCGTCTTTAAATTACCACCAAACCAAAGCCCATTTTTAAAAACACCCCTTAAAAATATGAATCTTAAGCAAAAAAAAAAAAAACCTTCAAATGAAACATGATCAATTTCAAGGTGAAGATTATCGCATTCACTTATTTCAGAAAACTCAAGAGCTGACTTTCAAAAGCTACAGGCACAAATAATTAAAGTTGTGAAATAATTTATTAGCACCTCAGGTAAAAATGTCAAAAACTATAGAATAAACTGCCAAATAACCATTTTGAAAAAATAGAACTTTTGATTTGAACACATTTATTACCGGGTGCATCTATTAAGATAATTCACTTCAGACACAATCCTTATGAAATAAATGCATTTTTCAAATTAACACTTTAGCTGCTAACTTGAGATCACCTGAACTCCCAATCGGAAAACCAACACTTCCAGTTTCCCTGGGGAATAAATACAGTGCAACACAGAAGTTGATTTCATCAAGCCGCTTCCCCCCATGCATAATAATCAAGTGGGTCAAAGAAGTGAAAAGAAATTAAATAAAACAACTAACTCCCTCTGAAACTCATCATTAGAAATATCCAGCAAGTAGCACCATTTTGGGATCATCAATGACTGTGAAACTGCTATTTTACTGAAGAATTATATCCTAATGTAATTTATTTATGATCGAACACATGTATTTAAATTAAAGATTGTATTTTTCTAAATTATAGGGGTAAAATTACTGCAACAAAGGATAAATTTATTTTAAGGCTTTATGAACATTTTTGGCGATAATTGTCAGCATACGCTGGAAGGAAACCTCATCTAAACTGTCAAGAAATACAATTTGTTTTGCTAACGTTGCTTTGATGAAAACATTTTGTTGGCCTGCATCTTCAGCTTCGTCAACTTTTTGTAATATTTTTGCACTGCACAACAAAGAGATTGTTAGACCTGTTGCTAAATCCTTAAAGCACATGAGGTGGAAGAATCTCGTTTTGCATTTGGAGCTAAAATCTGTCTGCTACTGTTGTCACATGGAAACCCGCAGTCGACCCCGAGATTACTATACGATATAGCAGTAACCATGCCTCCAGTAGTAAAACATGCATTTATGTTTATAATAATTAAAATGGCTGAACTTGATGAACTCCAAACCAACATCAATACTGCATTTTACAAATGTTACAAACTAACCTTGAGCTAAATTGAAATTTAGGATATTAAAAGTTCAGCGACAATGTCTTAAATTTCAACAGGCGTTACAAAACTGAATGGCAAACAAATACTAAAAGATTCAACTGTGAAAACACACAAACATTTGAAGGCATCATCAACAAAACTTCTGGCAGATTTATGTAAAGTCTTTGGTTTCTATGTTTATACATCAGACAAAATGGAGATACAAACAACAGTTTTAAGAAAGGGGAAGTAAAAGAAAGAGGTGAATTGTATCCATTTGGTTTACTGAACACGCAGTCAGTCAGCTGGAGTCACTGTTTGCATTTTCTTGTCTGGCATACACTTATACCATTTGGAAATCCGGCCCCGCTTGACATTTGAGTTCTGAGTCAGCTGCTCCTTCACCTCGTCAGGCTGCTGGTCCCACTCAAGCTGGGTGTCTAAGACCTGATTCCTGTACACCCAGGTAATGAGCACCCCAAAAAACTAAACATGGACACAGAGAGAGGCAGTTGGAAGTGAGCGTAATTAATGCATTCAAGTCTGGAATCAATTTGTCACTTTCTGTAATTTAGTCTTGCAAAGAAATCAGGAGTTCTTTGTTTTCAAGTCTGAAAGTTTAAGCGTTTGTCCAAAGCACCTCAATAATAATAATAACAGGTCAAAAAGAAGTTAGGCAGTGGGCTGGGCTTTGCTGGGGTTGCATTATTTTTTTTAAAATCTGTGGGGTTACACAGAATTATGTAAAATTGAACACAAAACATGTCCTTATTACATTGCTGTGTTAAGACGAAACTTGCAGTGATATTAACACATCTGTTTGAATATTGTTTAATTGTTCTGCCTTTACTAAAAGCTTTTATTTTATTTTTTTTAAACATGTCCTTGTCTTTGACATTTCAGGTTGCCAGGGTAGATTTGCTCTAAAAGAAATATCTGGAGATAGTATTCTAATTGCATGGCTGACTTTATTAAATCCTCACTGCATCCAGCATCAAAGTGGGCTGGCAGCCTTGATGTAATAATAGCCTGTGTTTGCATGACGTTAAGCCCTTTGGACTATATGTGTGTGTGTGTCTGGGTGTGATATATGTAGAAATAATTGTGTCGAATGTGAACAATACGGTGAAAGCTGTGGAAGGAAAGAACAAAGGAGAGGCGGCCTCGACTCCGAAAGGCCGCAGCACCGCAGGCAGAGAGACAAAAGGCAGCGCTTAAGGCCAGCCATGCGCTCCCACACAGGCATAGCATCAATAAAATTAAAGTGCAGCAAAGACTGAAAACCCCCAAACTTGCCTCCCCAGCAGCAAGCAGGGGAGGCAGCTCAGCAGAGTCAGACTGATCTGCTCCATGATGTGCTGCACTGATACAGTAATTCATGCAAAGGAGCCCAGACAAAGTATTGAGCGAATAAGATGTACATTTCTGTACTGCATGGGGATCCAAAGAATATATTTCCGGAATTTCACTGAGTTCGCATGTCTCATTTATTGACCCTTTGCACATTCTTCAGAAGTTGGGCGTCAAAACAACCTAACCTTGTCAAAAAACAGACACCTGTCGCCTAATATAGCATTTATTTGATTTCATTTTAAAAATTGTCATAGGATGCTGCACCGTCGGCTGCTCAGAACCAGAAGAAAACTTGTCATTTTTCTGTGTAACTTTTAATGAGGAAAAATACAGAAGCAATGGATAGCAGCCGTCAATCATAATGACCTCGGTGTAATCGCAGATCTGCAGAGAACACTTTTTATGAGGTAGGAAGATTAACGTTCAAATGCTTTACAAGTAATTATGATTAGAAAGATATCAAATATTGCATTATGGAAATCATCAACGTGGACGACCGCCGGACATGTCTGCGCAAAGATAAATGTTTCTGTCCACATACGTGTACTCATGAATAAACTGACAAAAACAACTTGGGAAAACAATTCCAGTCGTTCTTGTTCTTCACATCTGTCTTGCACAATGAAGTGAGGTAGTTGCAAAGGGTCAATAGGTTCTTCCACAGAGTGAAAGAAGCTTACATCAGCAAACAAAGAGCGAATAAATAATAGATTAGATGCGTTTCATGCATCTATAATACACTTTGCATCTGTGCTCATACTGCTTTTATTTCATTGCATAATAATTGTGCTGTGGTGCTCTGTCCAGTGCCTGCAGTCTACACTATTATGTAGCTTAGCTCTGTGTTGTATCGTAAGAGTTTCATATCAGTCACTATCAATAATTATTGATCTTTTTTTTTGCTTTAAATTTCTGAAATACTCCCAAACTTTCCTGTTTTATCTACAATTTTCTTTTGAGCTGTTGTACTCGCCTTTTCATTTAGCGCCAAGCTGTTTATTTTATTTTATTTTATTGTTTCTAAGCAGTAATGAGAAACGGTGGCAAAACCTCATACTGCTGCTGCGCCAGTTACTCAAAAGGTTGTTGCTAGGTAACCATAGAACAAGTGTGTTGCTAGGTAACCAAAGAGTGAGTTCAGTTAGTTGATTCCACCGACATTTCTTCCTAGCTAGCCAGGAGCGGTTGAGCGGCTAAAGCTTTTCCCAACAACCCCCAGAATGCTTTGCATTTGTGGATCAGAGTTCAGTGAAATTATTGAACATTCTATCAGACATTATTTATTGATATTGATCACATGTCTACTGTGATATATTGTTACTGAGCTATTTTGAATATTTAAAAAATGTCTTCAAGCTTTCTGAAATTTGAGAGGGTGCATTCACATTGCTATGCCATCATCATTATTTAAAAGTTGTCTCAAAATGACAATATTATTGTTTATCACAATAATTTCTGGGGCAATTTATCATCCAGTAAAATCTGTTATTTTGACAGGCCAGCACAGAAACTCCATTTTGTTCCTGGAAAGAACAAACCGTCAACAGCGAATCATAATCAGGGTTAAAAATGAACTTCTTTGTGATCCAGTTGCTTTTGTGGGAATGTGTCAAATCCTCAATAAGTCATGTTGCATCTGCTGCAAATTTCCTCAGAACAATACACTTGATTGAATTGGGACTTGTTACTTGGAATGGAAATGAAATGAGGAAAATGAAAGTCTTCTGAGTGACGGAACAGATTAATCTGTTTTGTGCCACCTGAACATAAATAAAGAGAATGAACCCATTACGTGATATCAATGACTGCCAGGCGGCATTTGCTCCACATCGCAGAAACGACTTGGCGACAACCAACACGCTTCTTACAGTCGCAGCCGATCAACATTCATGTATTCATAGCTGTCAAAGGGGCTCATATCTAAACGCATTGGGTAACTTTCAAGAAGATGTACAAGGGCAGAAATGCCAGGAACAAAAAAGGCCCCATGCATCTTACATCCAAACCGCAGAAGACAGATACTTAATGCAGAGAGAGTTAGTAAGTGTCTGTCGCTCCAGAATGATGTTCTGACAACATAATGCAGTATGTATGGAAATGCACAGAAAATGTAAGTGAAATGAAGCAGCATTCTGTTTCTCTCGCTGCTGATGAAGTGAAGCCGTCGGAAGTTCAGGGGAAACAAGGAAATGTATTTTCTGATGTTTAGTCATCAGACATGCATCTCAGGCTGGAAAATGCGGACAAATGTTTGATCCTCGATGTGTTTCTGAGTCATAGATGTGTTGAATTTAAGCTACTTTCTTAAAATGCCTCCTTGTCTCGTTGTGATTTGTGAAGGGGCTGGGAAACCATGAGGCGTGGGAGGGGGTCTGACGCCACACAGTTTTACACCACTTGGGTTGGCAAGAGAGGAATCAGAGAGCTCAAACTATCAGTGGCTGTAAAGGTAAATAAAATGGTATAAAACAAATTTCTATAAATGTTTTGTGGATCTTTTGTGTTAAAGTATTTCTTTACAAATAAAAAACCTGAAAAATGTAGAATGCATGTAGTTTTGCATGCCATCGTTCTCACCTTTGTGGAAGTTTGGAAAAAAACAAAATGATTGAATAATGAGACCAAATACAACATGCTGTCTGTAAAGAAAAATACAGTGAAACATGGTGGTGGCACCATTATGATGTGGGGAGAGTTTTTATTTTAGCCATTTCATTTAGTTTTAATGCATCATCATCATCATCATCAAATTTGATGAGATATTTTAAAATATCTGTTTTTATGTTTTTTATTTTCAGTAATGCAAAACATGCATCAAATAAGCTTTAAAAAGTATCAAAGAGTTTTTCTTTACTAATTCATTTTAATTTATACAGAGATATAAATTTAAATGTATTCATATTTAATGATGTTAATAATTGTCTTGCAGTTTATAAAAAGTAGAAATTCACATACTCAAAAAAATGAATGGGCTTTGTTTCAGACAGACTGCTGTTATCCTACCCCACTTTTGCCTTCCACTCAACTTTCCAGTTTGTTCAGGGCAGCAAAGAGCCCCCTGAACAAACAACTTCTTAAAAAAACTGATTTTATATCTTCATATACTTATCAGCTTTATGTGAGCTATGAAAATATTAAACTCAGAAATGTGTGCTGTGCAGTGCATGTTTTACCTGAGGCAGGAGGATAACCAACAACAGTATGGCCATCTTTGTATAGTTGTCCTCCATCCAGTGCATGAACGCATACGTGCAGCCTCTCGCGTAGATAACCTTCATCGCATCTGGCCGCTACAACAGAGAACAAAACAAGTCTATCAGCCCATGTATTTATCAAGAAGTTAAATGTCAAAACAAACATTTGTTTTGTGTCTTACAGAACATAGAACTTCCTGGATTTTGCCTTAATTTATTACTTATAGCTGTTATTCCAACTTACACTAAGCCTTGAAGGGATTTATGAGTTGCTGAAATCACAGCAGAGGTTACAGGGTCATATCCAGCTACCATGGAGACAGGACTTTTAAACTATTTGCCTTTAATTGGCACTTTAATGAGTCTGCTCGGTATATCCAACGAGAAAACAGAAAACAAGATAATGAACTGGAGGAACTTCAGTTTAAAGAATTTTACATTCATGTTGATATTTCTATGATCTCTTACCGTTTTATTCAAGACGTTGTACCCACACAGAGTGTTGACCACTTCATTAGGCTGGTGAGGAGAGAAGAAGACAGAAATAAATATATGTGCATTTCCTTCATAAAATGTAAAATGATTGGATGAGCCAAACAAAAACTTTCTGCAGAAGTTTCTTTTCACATTTATAAAACATTAAAAGTTCAATTGCTGATGATGTGAGAACTTGTCCTGTCTCTCTCAAACTCAGCTAGCAGATTAGGAAGATAAATTATTCAAAGGTTTTTCATAAAGCATGCATTAAGTGTTGTAATTATTTAACTCAGGTGTGTTGAAGCAATTAAAGGCCCTTTAAGACTGTATTTGCAGTTTTTCGTGCCATTGTAAAAGCTTCAATGAGCCACTTGTAGCTCCAAATTAATATATAAAAACTGTAACATGGAAATGCTGATGTAGCAGTATTTGCTTGCATACCATCGGTTGTAATGTTTCGTGCTCACCCGAGTCGTAATACAGCAGGTATATGGGACTCCACAGGCCAGCGGTCCACGTCCAGGACATGTGTGGTAAATGTTGACTTGCCAGTCTTGAAAATCTTTACCGCCGCAACACTGAAACTGGCAGAGACAAGAAAAATGGCAGAAATTAGAGGAGGAATGTGAGACGAAAAGCAAGAGGGAGAGCAGCATTTCCAGAAAAAAAAAATGGTTTGGAAAATAGCATTCATTTCTGCTGAGCTGACGAAATGCCTGCAACGTTTCAGGATGAAATGAGCAACAATTAAAGATTTACGTATAAATGAGTGAATGTGCTTCTCTGTGCATCTGCACAGGTGTTTGAATAGCTGGGCTATATGTTATATATTATAGATAATTGTAGCTCAGTTAAGTAAGTCAATCACACACTGTTCTCACATCCAGCGAGAGATTTAATTACAACAAATCTATCTCGATCAAATAGCAGTTCACTGCATAAACCTCCCATCATGCATTATATCCTGAAGGAAAATGAAAACAAAATAAATGACGCTTTCAGTCTGTCTTCTCACCAAAAATTCAAAATCCATACTCTCTGATCTTTGCTCCACATTAGCTAACATGCGACAGGAACAAAATGAACGGTCTCCTCCAGAACCAGTATGTGGAATCCAGCTGCAATTTGGTTCACAGAAATAAACAACACCTCAGGATTCCCATTATTGCTGCTTCGTTTTAGGTGTTGCTTGAAAAACCCCTGGGAAAAACAAAACATTACTTCACAAGGAAAATAAATGAGTTCCAATAAGAAACTTCAGGGAGGTAATTGCCTTGACCAAAGAGTTAGCCATTTGTTTGCTGGACTGTTATCAGCTGTGATAGAAAGTATTGTTTTTTTTTAGCTTGAAAGTCGATATGTCTCATGGTGAAATGTGGCGCTTAAGGAAATGAAAAGTATTGAGATTGTTTAGCTTTTCCAAGGTTTGCCAATTTACTACAACTCAAAAGTATTTTACTGAGATTCTCTTTGATATATGAAAATAAAGTAGCGCATGAACATTAAACTAATATTTATTTTTCTCAAATAAAGTGCAGAAATAAAAGAGTGGAATGCATATGTATGTCACCCCCTTTTATTTGACACCCCTAAAATAAAATCCAGTCCTAACCGGATCACATCCTTCATCTAAGAAAACAATTAAATAAAATTACGACTATAAAGTCATAAAATTATGAGAACAAAGTCAAAGTATTGCAAGAATTAAGTTGTACGAGAATAAAGTCAAAATATTATGAGAATAAAATTGTAGCATTATGACTTTATTCTCGTATTATTTTGGCTTTATTCTTATAATGCTATGACTTTATTCTCGGAATATTATTAGTTTTTCTTAGTATGGCTCTAACACTCTGTTGTACCTTCACAAGTCATCCGAAGAGTAATGACTCTAAATTAGCATTGCGAGTTTTGAAAGTCATACAGAGCACAGTTCAGTTCATCATCAGAAAATGGAAAAAGCATGGCACAACTGAAAATCTACAGACATCTACATGTTTATCACTTATAGCTGCATTTCTTAGTATGAAAAGAAGTACATAAATAAGCTTTTACATGAACGTTTTTCATTATTCACCTTCAAAGTCTCACATTAACCAAGTATGCTTAAAAAGAAAAACATTGGGACAAATAAACACTTGAAGCCAATTTGAGATGTAACCAATAAAAGCATTTTTCTCAAGGTAGCCTTTTCACACAACTTTCTACCCGTAACATTCAGAGATAAGCGAACATCATTTGGATACCGAACCTGTGGAAAAGGAACAGTCTTCTCAGTGGTTCGACAGTGTAAAACGTTGGCACTCCAGTCATTTCATTGAGCCGACGCCGTCTCTCTTTATGAATTCCTTTCCAAACGTCAGTCTCAGAGTGTAAACACGGACGGAAACGGCTGAGCGCCACAGTGTTAGCTCGGCTCGCCATTCAATTACAGGACCAAATATTTCACTGAAGAGAATCGCAGACATCTAACGAGACGAGATGTAAAGAGATGTGATGAGTAAATGTGAGGAGACACTCCGCCAGTCATTGTAACCGGTGTACAGATATGAAGCTTGCATGCTGAGACGTTTCTCCCATTACTCAAAGTTATTAATTTCTGATTGGCTGGAGACTAAAAAAACAAAAGGGGAGCTTAAAACAATCACGGTTTTCTCTTTTTTAAACCAAGAATTACAAATCAGTTTGTTACTGTTAGTTTGTTAGTAGAGTTTTATTATGTTTATAATAAAACATATTGTGATAGACGCACAATATCTGATCAATACACATCTGACAAAATGTTCAATAATAACTGAACTTTGATCTAGAACCGCACAGCATTCTGGGGGATATAGACAGAGAAAAGACTTTAGGCGCTCAACCTCCCTTCCTCCCTCCATCCCTCCAGAAAACTATTGTGTCCCCTCTGGTTTTTAATGTTTTTGTTGTGGTAGATGTTGCTTCAATAGTGGTGAATTACAGCCACCCAACCAAAAATGAAGCTCAAGTTAATGAAGCAAATAATAACTCCAGTTTTGTTATACTTTACAAATGTTTTGCAACATTTGATTTTCTTGTATATCTGGTGCAAAACATTCTACCACTGATTAACTAGCAGCTTGGATGCAAATGCTTGGGGCTATTAAAAAACATCAGATATTAACAATGTGTGCCTCTAATACAAGCAATTGTAGCCCTACTTTTTCTAAAGCATATTTAAAAAAAAGTGCATAAATGATGTTTATTATTGAGCAACAGTGGAAGTAAATGAGCAGCAACTATCTCCATCTAGAAGAAGTTTCTTATTTATAAATTATGGGCAGAAAATGCATCGATGCAGCTGTTAAATTTGGACTTTAGGGAAGTTCTTCTAAAATGTTATCAGTCATCTTACCAGATGTCACATCTGTTGCATCCCACAGCAATTGCCGGGGAAGAAGAGCAACAAAAAGCAAATGGGTCTCAACAGTGCAGCTGCAATATATGACTAGCTAAAGAGGGAAGCTCTTCAAATTAATTTCACAATCGTGTCTAAAGAACAAGGAATGTTCACAGTAATAGAAACCAAGTTGGAAGAACATGCATTCGAAAACACAACAAAGCTTTATAAAGTCAGAATCCACAAATTATTTAAATTTTAATCAGATGGGCAGATCTAAGGTAAAACACGCACAGGATACAAAAACACCATCATGGCTATCCTGTTTTAGTTGAACCAAAAACATTTGACCCACATCATGCAGTTTAAGACACTGAATTCAAGAAAAGTTTTCTGGCATTTAGGAAACAGAAATAATTTGGGTAATTTATACTGCACTAAAAGAGGAGAGGTTTGGTTTGATTTAACTCCAGACAGTGAGAAAAAAAATGTGGATGTGTGTTTTTATTCTGTGTTTGTAACTATCTGGTTTCAACTGCATGTATGCAGGTACATCCTAAAAATGCAGAATAATAATGTAAATATCTTTGTCAATTTCAGAAAGTGAAACTTCTACATCACATAGATTTATTACACATAGTAAAATATTTATTATGTTAATGATTATGGTTCATAGATGATACAAAACACATTGTTGCTTTTTAAAGTTCATATTTCTGGATTGAAGCTGTGCAGACACTAATAGCAAATTAAGCACAAACGTCACTGCGATCTCTGGAGTATAGATCTATAATTCAATGAAAAAAAAACATCTTTTGTCAAAACAAAGGATCTTCAGCAGAGGATCTATAGCAACAAACCGCGACTAAACCATCACATCGAATGACTCATGCACGGCTGCAGGCGGTATTAAACCCACTTCCTGTCTGATAGATGGGTAAAATAAAGTCTTATGATATTAGATATGAGACACAAACGTTCAATAAGACTGATGAGGCGAATGATTTGTTGCTGTGTGGTTTTGAAATCTTCTTGAAATACTTTTAACCCCACGATTTGAGAAGCTGATTATTACATCAAAACTGGACCAAAGAAGAGAGAAAGTATTGGATGATCATGTTTTTGAGATCATTCAAAGATTTCCAAAAAAACAAAGAAAACCATCCACAAAATAGAGCAATAAAAAAATAAAATAAATAAAAAACAGGCCCCAATTTGTTCAGGGTTAGAAGGACTCGACTCCAAAGCCTTAGAAATACCTTTATGAGATCTGATGAGGGCAGATTTAAGCTGTTACAGGTGATGGGAGAATCCAATAAGGTTTAAGTTCAACAACCTTTTGTGGCGAAACATAGAGTTCTGCTGTAAAACCTAAATATATCAAACGATCAGGATTTCTCTTCATCAGAGGCTTTTCTTTCCAAGTGAGTTGTAAGAAGTTAAGAAATGGTGAAACCGGGATTTATTAGGCACTCGGTGTGAAAGATTAGTTTTACGACCAAATAAAGGAATAAAGAAAAGTTTGATCATCATAGAGCTCAAAAGTTTGGTCTCCTGTCTACAGACTTGGAGATTGAGATGCATTGAAATAAAAATAAACAAAAAAAAAACTTCAATCCAGAAATCTAGAGAAATATTTGTATTTTTTATGGTTAAAATTTGTTTAAAACCAAACGTTTTAAGAAAATCTCTTAAAATTGAAAAAAACAGTAATATCACATTTCAAATTAATCAGACCTATTTCTTAAAATCTATGACATCTATTATTTGACTAATTAATAATAAAAAAAGATAACACTACTTATAAAACAGATTAAAGCAGGTTTTCATTAGAAGTATTGGAGGGTAAAATACCATCTCAACTGATAAGAAACAAGATTTACAAAAAGTTATTAAATTCTATTTCCATAGTTTTTGTGATTTACAGTTAAGTCAGGAGTGTCCAACGTGTGGCTCGGGGGCCATTTGTGGCCGTTGAAATTATTTTGTTCGGCCCTGGATTACATGTCAAAAATGCTAAAAAATAAAAGGATGCCAACCAAATGAAAATGTTTTAATAATACACAAATTTTATTTAAAATTGTGTTTATTACTGAGTGGGTTAAAAGAAACAGAAATTTAATTTAATTAATTTTATGGCCTGACAGCTTGAGTTTGTTGAATGTTTTTGGACATCCCTCACTTTATGTTGTAGAACCTATTGTTCAACTGAATAATTAAAGG